TATAATGCGAATAAATAAACAGAATTCAAATAAGGGAAACTCACCAACGAAGTTCATTAAGTTTAGCAAACGTCCTATATACATGATCGCTACTTCTATGCGGTGACTTCGATACAAAACAAGGATTTTGATAAAAGTCATGATCGGCTTCAGGTTGATAACTCTAAAGAGATTAAATAAAAAATTGATTCACTAGAAGAGCTGTGAGTAACTACATATACAATAAAACAGATTAAGAACGTTACGATTATTTCCTAAATAAATTATCGATAGAGACAATCTCAAGTTGTTACATTAATAATGATGCACAGAGTTAATATGAGGAGAAACTTGAAAATAACAAAATTAAAGTCGGACATTCATGGTGATTACCTAGTTTCAACATAACAGATAATAAAGAAAACGATGTAAGCAAATATATATTCTTAGTAATTTCTCATCAGAATTTACAACTACAGGTAGATATATTAATCCAGAACAATTGCTGTAATTAGTGAAATTATATGGACCAGATGATACAAGTGGTGATAATATTTATAACCAATCCATCAAAGTGTGGATCTACAGTTAATTACAAATTTGAATGTGCGTATGAGTTAAAGTAATAACAAAATGAGTGAATCATAAGTGTGAAAACGATTATCCAGAAGTTTGTGGAGGCTGTTTCAATGAAAGTGGTGTTCGAGATACGTCAATCAACATTGAATACGAAAAGATTATATATCACGTTTTCCTTCAAAGATTTAATTGCTGAATAATTATTCAATTAAAATAATAAGGATTTCAATCAAAAGATTCTTTATATCTACACCACGCAATGTATTTATGACCCAATATACAATTTGGGTGCAAATAAAAAATATATCTTCAAGTCTAGCGATTGCTTTGTCCACTTACAATTTGTTCAAACAAGTTTTTTGGATGAAACGCTGGAACTACTTATATTTCAATCGCTAGAACTATTTCAAAGATAATTGTTACAAAAAATGTCTTTTATATACTTAGTGCCCAATTTTTATCAAACTATTCATTCAAATATTGAGCAGGCCCTGCAGGTTTACTCCTGAGATTTTTAAGGATGGTGGTCCAGTATTAGCAATGAGATTAACCGAGGTCTTAGGTAGAATTTGGGAACTGGACGTAATCCCATCTGACTGGTCTCAATCACTGACTGTGCCAGTCTATAAGAAAGGACAAAAGTCCTCTTGTGACAATCACAGAGGAATCAGTTTGACCAATATAGTGTCTAAAATATTAGCTTCAATAATACTTCGACGCCTAATCAAAGCTCGTGAAGAGCAGATTAGAGAAAACCAGGCCGGTTTTCAACCTGGACGTGGTTGTATAGATCAGATATTCACACTACGTCAGGTTCTAGAACACAGACACACATTCAGACGCCCCACAATCGTATTATTTCTCGACCTTAAGGCGGCATTCGACTCTCTGGATAGTAAGGTTCTATGGCAGTGTTTGTCACTGAAAGGAGGACCAAAGAAGTACATTAACCTTATAAAGGCTCTCTACTCGAACACAACTGGTCGAGTGAGAGCTTATGGCGAACTGTCATCAGAATTGATTACCTCAAGTGGTGTTCGTCAGGGCTGCCCACTCTCTCCATTCTTGTTTAACTTTGTCGTCGACGTACTTTTAGAGATAACACTTTCCTCGTCTAGATTTCCAGGGGTTGAACTTCTACCGGGAGGTTCACTTGTTGACTTGGAATATGCTGATGACATAGTTTTATTTGGTGAAGACGCTGACAAAATGCAGTCTTATGACCACTCTAAGCAACAATGCAAGCATGTTCGGCATGCGATTCTCTCCCTCGAAGTGCAAAATGTTGCTTCAGGATTGGGTTGCATTGACACCCGAACTAATGATAGGGAGTGAAGTAATTGAGTGTGTCGATCGCTTCACTTATCTTGGAAGTCTCATCAGCCCTTGTGGTCTGGTGTGTGACGAAATCTCAGCACGGATACAGAAGGCTCGACTAGCTTTTACCAACTTGCGTCATTTATGGCGTCTATCAACCAAAGGACGGGTTTAATGCGCAGCAGTTCGTTCCGTCCTACTTTATGGCAGTGAAACATGGCCGGTAAGAGTAGGGGATATCCATAGGTTACTAGTATTTGATCATAGGTGTCTTCGAAACATTGCTCGTATATCCTGTGACCATCGAGTAAGTAACGCAGTTGTTAGGAAACGGGTACTAGGTAAGGATGGCGAATCAATTGATGACGTAATGAAACTTCATCAGTTGAGATGGCTGGGACGTGTTACGTATGCCCAACGACCAACTGCCCCCGACGTGCGATGTTCAGTGGTATAGGAGTAGGTTGGAAGAAAGCCAGGGGCAGCCAGACCAAAACATGGCACAAGTCCAAGAAGTCACTGAAAAGTGGACTGAGTCATGTTGGTAGGTGTAGACTACCTGGTTGGGGACCGCGAGATGATAGCAACCGATGGTTAGAGACCCTGAATGACATGGCTCAAAATCGTTTGCAATGGCACAGGTGCATCCACTATTTGTGTTCTCCCAAATTTTAAATCTCCTGATTCCTCCTTGTCTCTTTTTTCTCTTCCAAATTTATTTCACTGTATTATACTCTTTAAATAACATCTCCAAACACTAATTTTCCCGATTACTGCTTATACTCTTATTACCTCTACCACTACGGGATTTGAATCGGCCACTACATCACTGTGCTAATGTGGTGTGGCAACTCAAATTGATGTACGTATGTACGAAGTTCTACGTTGTTACTGACTGACTGACTGAGCAATATTCGTCTAAAATTAATTCTGTTCTAATTTCTTGTGTAGAAAAATAACTTGACCGAATAAAAAAGTATACAAATTCGAAAATCACCTAAACAGGTGCAAAAATTAGCACTATTTCCACAATAATATTAGCAGTTAATGCATAAGTACTGCTAGACAGAAGAAACATAAATTCCTTAATTTTATTAACGTTGAAATTCTGCATATATATTAACACCAAGGCCCAAACACATTAAAAAAAACTACCGAAATCGTTGAGTATTACAACCTGTGGTAAGAAACTACCGCGGCGATTAATACCATTTAAAGCAATAAATAATTTATTTACAAAACAGAACAGAAATATCCAAACCAATAATCAGATCGTCAGAGAATTTCAACATACCGAACTCGCTCCAGTTACACCTCTTCGATGGTCCAGATCTCCACGCCTGGGAAATTTCACAACACATTGTTTTGGAGTTGGTGGGATCCAGATACTTGTTAGATCAGTACTAGTAGCAGAAGCTGAGCAGTTACCATCATGGTTGTCATTATCACAATCAGAATTCGTTGGTATTAATGAATTGGGAATGGGAGATAAGTTGTTTGTATGGGTGTTACCGGGATTGAGTGGTGGTTGTTCCTGAGGAGGTTCCTGTGAAGGGCTACTTGATGAAGGTAGTGAGTGTGAAAGTGGGATTTGCTCTGATGATCTGTTAGCTGGGAGAAAATTGTAATGAGTCGGACCCAATCTAACCGGAAGCTCAGCGAATTCATCATTTGAACAGTCACCTAAAGGTGATTCCTGTCTCTTTACTGATGTTTCAGCCTCGTCTGACACACTATCGTCAAATCGAAGTGAAGAGAATCTCAATAAACGAGACAGATGAGATTCACAAACAGAAGGATCAATGGATTGAGGACGTGAGTTGACTCCACTTATTGTGCGATATCGACCAAGAAGACTACTATTACTACTGCTACTGCTCAATAAGCCAGGAATACTATCACGATTTTGTGTGAAACGAGCCATTCGAAGCAAACGGCGCTGATGAGTGCTTCGAGGCGTTCCAACCACAGAAGTTCTGTTTGTGCTACCTAGACCAACGGAGCGGGTACTACCAGACAAACCAGCTCCAACTGTTTGGTGCGAACTCCCTAATGTGCGACCCGGGTAAGCATGGTTTATTACAGACACTTGTTGATTGGACTCGGTATTTAAAAAATTTGGTCCACATGGTGTATTCACGTGGTTTGAATTTTCACCGAACGGAGGTTGACTTCGACTGCGCCAAAACAAGTTACTAGGTAGACTAGTGGTAGTACTTATCTCATTGTCTAGGTTCACATTTTGAATGGGTGATTCTCGAGACGATCGACTGGATTCAGAACGCGAATTTTGATTGTCACTGGTATATGTTTCTGAATCGTAAAAGGACATAGAATTAATTTATACAATTTCCTGCCTTTGATAAACACTTAGCAAGCTGAAAACGAAATGGGAAAATTTTTTTAATTATAACGAAACAAACGACAGATAAAAGGACTCATATAATACATTGAAACAATGTTTCTGGGATTCCCAGTGATTTATAAAAACTTAAAAAGCACTGTCGGTGTCACTATACCTGTGAAAGAGTGAAAATCACTGACGAACAAAGAGATCAATATGCCATAAACGATAAATAAATAAAATTATGCAGCATATGATCTCTACAATACTGGCTTCTAAGTGTTATGTCCCTTTACCACTTCCAACTTCTTTACAATGAACAGATATTTAAAAAAATTTAATGGCTATCACTAATAGTCAAAGACGAGTGATAAAAAACGAAAATGATGAATAATGTCAAGAATTACTCAGTCAGAAAGTACTCTACTTTAGCATCATAGAGTTAACACAGATGAAATTCCGACATTCTGACGATCGTCAGGAGAGCAATCACAAGCAAGGTTCTCATTATAAGCATCAATTATATGATTGAATATTCTTATTCGCGATTCCCAACTGCTTTCGACAAGAAGGTCGAACTCATAATAATTAGATTGGAATAAATTGTTCTGATCATAGCTAAAGAATTTAAGAATCGATATTTTCATAAGAATTAAGGACAGAGCCCTTTCCTTTAATTTAATCAAAATATTCAAGAGACTCAATGTACTTCTACTATTTTAAATTAAACAACAAGCAGTTCACAGGAAAACATACTAAATACCACATAAAAACAAGACCGTAATATCGAAAGTTTTATATTAATAAAAGAAAGATTAGATTGAAGAATATACAAGCAACACTGTGAACCTCTTTATATACAAATTCATTTTTCAGTAAAGATATTAAGAGATCGATTGTAACACTGAAAATTTATGGTTTTGACAGTTTTTCTTATTCGTCAAATTCACCCCAGAGTGCATGGTCATAAACAACAGAGTTCATATTACGCATCAGATGGGATGTTGGTTCACTAGACTTATCGTCCTTTTTGGTAGATTTTGCAGCCAAAACAAATAGTCTGTCTAACACACAATTTGCGGACATGGCAGCTTGATAACGCCTTTTTTGACTGCTTTCAGTAGTTGTAGATCTAGTTTTATATAGTAGGGAAAGAAAGCAGTGTAAAATTTTAAAAAATATGGAATCGTTTTGAGTTAAAAATCAGCTTACACTTAAAATCACTTACTCAATATCAGAAACAGTCATCGTCATATATTGAGGTTCTGAATTTTATGAAGTTACAGTAACTCCGGTGCTTTTTTTTATTTTTTGGATAAAATAATGTACACTCACTGAATATTAATAACAAGGACAAAAGTAACGTATGCTAATGGAACTAAGTAACTTAGTACAGATACATGTACTAAGTTTCAAGTCACATATTACGTGTGAGGGTTACTGATGTTACTCAGGCTGCTCTCACTGAATTGCGTGAGGAGTAAGCAACGAATACATTTTTCGGCTAGCTAGATATGGAGACTGTTGAGAGTATTTCAAGTTTAATATCTTGAGGGATGGACAATTCAATCGATGATAAATCCATACCAGTCTCGTTTTATACGACGTAAAAAATATGGTATTGGTAAATGAAAAGACCGATTAGTTAATACGTGATTTATAATTTTATGGTGCCTAATTTATGACTGTGACATATAAGTTGTCACGATAATCATATTCATTTATTAGATTTCTCAAAAGCACAGGGTATTTCATAAACTACAGTAGGGAAAAGGAGAAATTAAATAAATTAGTTCACACGAAAAGACCAATCAATTGCAATCGCATCAAAGTATAAATTCTAATTTCAAAAATCCAGCACTTGACAACCGATTGAAAATATACATGATTACAATATACAATGAATCACTATGATTTGATATACTCTTTGGCTTTAGAGAAATACAAGGGCTGCTTCAACATACCGGGAATGCCACTTAATTGTAAACCGAGATAATGAACAATGGTTTCAAGGAAGATATAGATTGGAAGAACAATGTCATTTTCTTTTCCAAAACCTCGATGGTTCCTTAAAAAGATCTATTGTGAATAAAATATTTTTTACTAGTATGGAACATGACCGTCTCAACGATAATTATTTCTAATTAGTCTTCAGAATTATTATAGTAGTGTTTAGATACAGGAGGAGTGTGACCTAATGTACACAAAATTTATATGCTGCGATTGAGCTAATCACTTCTCGGCAGGCTTCAGTGATGTAGTAAGAACTCAGAGAATGAAACCAGAAAGGTTTACAGAGATAAACAGGTTCGATCACTGTGTCAGCGTAGAGGCTGTGTCATGAAATGCTTAAAATGAGTCTCACATGCATATGTTTATTCATTATTATTTATCTCTAACACATAGGTTTTGATATTTCATGCACTTTATTCTCGTATTTCATTACTTGTTTTCGAAACAAATTCTATATTTCTAGATTTTCCTACAACTACTGATACTACTGTTGTTCCGACACCTTTGATACTCACCTTACTAATTTCAATTCGTTGTGGTGATATCGTATACATTCGTCTCAGGTCTTACGTTGATTAGGACTGACTGAAAAACATGTTATAAGCTACTTGTATATCGAAGAAAAGCAAACCATGAACTTCTAGATAATCAACTACAACTTCAGTAATACGCTCTTGCTTAATAATTTCATATATCATGCAAAAAAACTCACATATAAAAATTGGTCTCATTTATTCCATCACAAGTTGGATGATTTTCATCAGAACTATCATCTTCTTTGTCTACTGATCTCTCACATTCATTCAACAAATCATCTGAATACAAATCGAACTCTTCCGGAGAGCATGGTTCAATGTCAAATTTATCCATATCGCCCTTTGTACTACTGTTTAAATCATTTGAATCAGATGGAGAAAAACTAATCCATAAGAAAGGATCAGGTGAGTCAACAGGCAGAAGAGATGGCGCTTTGTTTACATCATTATAAATGAAGGATAATTGTTGGATTTGTTTGAAGAATAGTGAGTGAGGTAAAGTGTTGCTTAAAATTTCCTGCATACAGAAGAGAAAACCATAAAACGAGTTTTAATAGCTTTAAACCATTGCAAAATGCTGTAGACTGCTTGCGGTGCAGAAAGAGAATTATATTTTGTACAACAGGGCTACAGTAACAAGCGTAAAATTTCAGTATTACACCACAATTCACTTGACATCATAATTGAGTTACTATAAAATAAAGCATTTTAGTCTGTCTATACTTTTGAACTTTAAAAAGGAAAACCAGTGGCTTGATGGTTAAAGCATTAGAGGTTCTGGATTTCAATTTGGTCCCGCCTACTGTAGTTTGGTCACATGAGCAGATGTGCTAGACGTTCGAGCATGTAAATCGATATCCCATAAGCCGGTTATATCGGTTCATAAATAGAAAATAATAACAGATCTGATAACGTCTCAAGACACTGTTATACTATCTCTAGAACTCCAACTAGGTACTCGCGAAGGACAAACAGATGCCATTCTTGTACGGCTCTCCTTCATACCACTACATTGTGTCATACACTGACCACCTCTCCAATTTTTCCAACCAGTCCCAGCATCGGCAAATAGTGCGCGATGTGAAGTTCGCCGAACCGACATTCGTAAGACGCCCGAGCCACCGAATTCGGTGTTTCAAGATGGCAACACTAATTGAAATATCGTCCCTGCACCCAAACACACGACGCCAAACCTCTGCGTTACAAATAGTGTTGCCAGTACATTTCAACAGTCCTCTGGGGACAACGACGATCAAACACAAAGAGTCAGTTAAAACCCCCAACTCGGAGAGGCCAGGTCTTAAAAAGATAGGGCAGAACTGTTTTCACCGACGCGTCGTAGCTCCAACCGTTGACAGTCAGACTAACATCACGAAGGCGTCAAAGACGATCTAGGTTGGCATAACTCGCTCTGGCTTTCATCATACGTAAATTAATCTCACGCCAGCACATAAGCAACTACCCAGACACACGAACTGCCCGACTATTTCTATCTGCTCACCACCCAGGGTGAGTGTAGTTTTGGGGTCCTGCCGATCTTGTAAAAGTACTTTGCACTTAGGTGTAAAGCATATACCATACTTACGGACACTGATTAGGAGCTTATTGCATGGTTCGGGTATTGTCATAAAATATCATCCGCACACTCATGGTCCCAAAGTTTTTCCACAGGCAACAGATTCACATCACTATTACCTACATCCATCAGAACTGTTTCCAGATCGTCATCGATGGCAAAGTTAAAGAGGAATGGTGGGATTGGGCAACCCTACCTAGCCCCACTGCTTGAATGAGACAGTGGTGAGACGTGGTAGTATGCCCTCACTATCTGAAGTGGTTGTAGGGCTATCAAGCTGCAAATAAACGTCTCAGACACACCCTCCTTTAATGGACAATCCTAGAAAAGTCCTATCCAACGAATCGAAGGCAACCGTACTGTCGAAAAACACTATTATGGTTGGTCTGTAATAAGTATGACAATGTTCTAACATTTGGCAGATAGTGAAGATATGACCAATCATCCTCGACCATAACGAAAACGAGCCTACTGCTCGCGAGTCAATCTTTCTCGAATTTTGGACAATCTATAAACTAAGACGGAAGCTAGTAGTTTGGACGCAATCGAAAGTAGACTTATCCCCCGATAGTTGTTACAGAAATGACGTGAACCCTTTTTAAAAATAGGAACAACTATTGACTCATTCCACAATGATGGAACACCCTCTAACCGCCGGACCTTTGTCAACAACGCAGTCAGTTCTTTAACCAGAATGCCTCCAACATCTTTAGAAAGGGCTGAAGGTAAGTCAGCCGTATGACCATGAGAATTTGTAGCGCTACTGGAGTTGGGGTTCCTTGAGGACTTCCGCCTCCTTAAGTGGATCAGTCGTCACATGCCATGGAAAGCAGGATAGGTTGATCGATGTTGCGGGGGGGGCGGCATACTATCGTTCAAGACGTCGGTAGATGTTATTGATTAGCATCATGTTAACTTCGCAAATTGCTTCACTCACACCAGATTTCTTGGTGCCAGTGACTAGGATGAGTTGCTTATAAGCGGGAAGTTTCGCGAAGCAGCAAGCAACTTTACTCGCCATTTTCATGTCGTCATGAAACTGCGGCCAATGCCCATCTATACTTTTCGGTGGCTGATAACTAACCTTGAACTTATCCTGATTTGATATTTGGCTGCAACCAATTTTCTGTAGTCATTTATTGAGGACGAAGAATTTGTTGGCCACTGAAGAGTAAGATAAGATTAGCGCAGATGAGAGCATGATTAGAGTCCAGATAAGTATTCCAAAAGGATTAACACTCCTGCACACAGTCACCTAAGTGACTCTCCTACGAGTATTTAAATCTCCAGCTAGCACTACAATATCTGCCGAATGCGCTTTCCTGAAGTCATTTGATTTCCTTTAGAACTCCTTCTTGATTGCATCGGGGCTGCGATCCGTCGGGACATAAGCAGAAGATAACGAAAAGACATCTTTTCTCATACCGATTTCTGTCTTTGATGGAGTTTTCTATCCTAACAGAGCATAATTGACTATCGATGGGGATCTAGTCGAATAATGCCGGCTCTGTTCCAGCGCTTATTAAGACACGAATTCTAGAAAAACCAAACGAAGATGCCACAGAGTTTCCGGACAGAAGCACGTACAAGTTTTTGGCAGTGATAAATGGAGACGGAATGTGTAGTGCTTCACCAGAATCTTGAATACAGGTCTTGGATAGACAACAGACATTGATGTTGAGACTTTCTAAAGACATGACCAACCCTGTCTGTTGCCCGATCTGCATTAGTGTGCGAACGTTTAAGCAAGCCAATTTCAATGGCACATGTGGTTTCAGAAAGGTTAGTTCAGTATTCGTAGTCGGTGGTATCACTCAACATTGAAACATTCAGTGACCTGAGATCCTTTATATAGGACAGGGTTTTAACCATAGGCAAGCTCCTGTATAAGTTGAAAAATAAAGTACACAAAATGAGAATAAAAAGGAATAGATAATGATATAGAATATAACGGTAAAAAAGTATGTTACTAAATGATTGTGAATTCGATTTGTCTGAATGCGAACTGAAGTGAGAATAATTTTTCTATTTGCGTGAGGGCTGGGACACTGCCTTGGTGCCCAAACCGAAGCGGGAGGTTTTCTTAGGGGGCTACATCCAGAGCCTTTGATCTAAAGGTCTAATCCACAGGGCAGTGGAGCAACGTTAGGAGATGCAGTACCATGGTAGCCGTTGACTAACAATAGGTTCATATTTGTAACCTGAAGGTGGAATTTGGCTCTGCTGATGGATTCTTTTGTCATGCCTGTTATTAAAAGGAGTACTGAATGAATACATTAACCTTGTACAGGCTATCAACCCGAATACTAATGGTGGAGTCAGAGCTCATGAAGAACTGTCATCACAATTGATAAATCCAAGTGGTGTTCATCAGGGTTGTCCGTCTTACCCATTTTTATTTACTGTTATCATAAACATCCTCACCATCCTGTTTTTCTAGGGTTTGATCCACCAGGGGATTGACCTGTTGATTTAGAGTAAACACATGATATAATTTTGTTTGATCAAAGTGCCAAAAATCCAGTCTTCTGACTACCTTAAGCCACGATGAAAGCATATTTGGGATGTAATTCTTCCCCCCGAACGCAAAATGTTACTTCAGGATTGGCTTGCGTCAGAGCCTGAATTAGTGATAAAGAATAAAAGAGTTGAACGTATCAACTCCACTTATTTTTGGAGTCTCATCAATTCTGGCTTTTGCCAACTTGCGTCACTTGTGGTGTAGGCGAGACACTCGCCTGTCAATCAAGAGGCGAGTTTACTGCGTAGCAGTTTGCTTTGTTCAACTTCATGGGTGTGAAACATACCCATTAAGAATAGAGGATATTTGTAGGTTACTAGAATTCGACCATAAATTTCTTTAAAGTATCGGCCGTGTATTTTGAAACCAGTGAGTAAGCAATGACTGAGTTAAGGACAGGGTACTACGTACTGATGGTAAATCAATCGGTGAGGTAGGAAATCATTATCAACTTAGGTAGTTGGGACATGTGTTAGTGTGTCTAACTACCATCTCCCTCGATGGAAGACGTTGCCTGATGTAGGATTCGGCTGAAACAGACTATTTTTCGGTAATCAATCCAAATAAAAACAAGAACAATTAAAAGGATAGTTACAACACTCACCCGAAGACCAGCAGGAAATTTTAAAGTGGTCAAATTGAAACAGGCATGAAGCGATGGTTGCTTTTGTTGCTGGTGGAGAAAATACTGGCATATTAAATATTGCAATGTGATTGGGTAAGATTTTGCACGAATCAAACGAAAACCACTTCGTAACGTAGTTGAAGATACCATTGGATAATAATTATCACGTGGCAGACTACTCAGGTTTTAATCATTAAATGGATTATGTAAGAAAGCATACATAAATAAGAATGAGATATCCGATTGAGTGGATTACATGGGTTAGTGACACACATACAAGAATTATTAATTAATCCAGTTTTAATTAAGATCTTTTTTCCAATCAATAAGTAACATCTAAATGACATGTAACCACATACTGACTTTAAAAATGTAATGAGAATATCAAGACAGACTGAATAACAAGGAATACTGGTCACCCACTAGAAGTGATTTACCTTTCATTCAGAGGTAATGTAGAGATTAATTCCTCTCTATTTGACTCCAAAATACGTTATCCCGTTAACTCTATTTCAGCAGCCCAATTCCCATAATAACACTATGAATTGACTCGAGAATTTTCAAAAGCGAGAACACTAGTTGTTGAGATGTTTAGTGTTACTAATTAATAACACCCACAGACACGAGAGAGGCAAGCGCACCGAAAAGTGAGTCAATGAGTAGAAATTCGAAGCACGTATACGTATTTTAAGACTTAATTAATATGTGGGTAAAGTTGTAAATTGTGTGTTAATAACCAATGGAAGAATAGATAAAGATTTTGGTGCAGACATGAGTCCAATCAGACTCACACATACTTTTACATGGTGGGTTAATTATCTAAATCACGGCAGGTAGGTAAAAAAATTTAATGGGCTTACTTATAGTACCACTACTAATCATACACTCAAATCGTTGTTTTAAAAAAAGACATACTTTGCGTGGTGTAGATTATTCTATTTGAAGGCTTATTCACTTTATTTTACTAACTCCATAACCCGCTGATGTAACCTAATGATTGTTAGTCTCATCAACAGGCCATTTGTCGATCACTAGGTTTTGCTATCACTACTACAGAAAATATTCCATCTTATGAATACAATGACATTAAATGTTTCTTTGGTGAATTTCATTTCTAATAAAGGAATAACAAGTTAAAGAATTTCTGAAGTCTTATTAATTCTAATTCAGGTAGATGTACTTGGAAAATAAAAGATCACCTGACTTCTGTAATTACTCCAACCTAAAGTCACACGATATATTGGTAGTTCTGTTTCGTTCATCTCACTATTCCTGACAATACTAGGAAATTGATGATTTCCCGAACTCGACTTCCTGAAAGACTGCTAACCATTCCAGTCAGTGAAAGTGATTGAAGAGCAAAACTTAGGCTGAATAATCAGGTCATAATTGCGCTGGCGTGAGCATGGTCTACAAAACCCACATTTTTCAAACGTTTATGTCTTAAATGACTTCTAACCATGTCCATTACTTTGTATACTATTTCCATTTTACTAGAAGAAACCTATTCTAAGGGTTACTACTTTTATTCTTCATACTAATTGATTGCCGATAATTCAGTATTGTGGACAGACTTTATTCTGTAGCATTGAGTCCCCAGTAATTGACTATTTGAATGAATTGTAGTAACTGTGGAATGACATGATACGCTAAAAACGTATCTTAAGCTTTGTTCAAGTTATATACTAGGTACATGATTTTGGCCTCGGCTCTGAACCACAGATATTGCGTAAGGATTAATTGCACCACATAGTTACCCAAAAACAAGTTCAAACCTGGGACATGATTGTTGAGATTTGAATGTTTACATAACCGAAACACATGGAATCACAGACAAGTTCGTCTTCTGTATGCCATGAAAATATATATCGCACCTAATTTGACGTAACATTGAGACTTATGAACTCAGACTCAAATTGTCTTTCCCCTTCAACGTCCGTACATCGATGCAGATTACACAACAGTTAGTCGGTTGCCCTTAGAAAGTCTTGATATCACTGAGACCTGTATTCACAACTAGTGAGTGATTACAAATTCGGCCTTTATCCGTCAATTTGAAAAGCTTGCTTTATGTGCGCTTATTCACCGATCCTATGGAATCTGAGTCTGATTTGGTTGGTGTTAGTGTTGCGCTAAGAGTCATGAGGCTCTGCACACAAACACTTTAGCCACAGTGAAGGGATACAGCCACCTCTAATCATTCTATTCCAAAAAAGGGATTACAGGTTTCCCAATCTCATCAATTCTCGCCAACTCTATTGTTGATGATATTCTTGAAGCAGTTGTGATGGAAGTAGGTAGTGTTGGAGTATATCTGTTACCTGCAGAGACTTTTCGATCTGAAGTACTCGAGCGATATCGTCTTGTGCTGTGACAATCAAACTATGTATATCGCGTTTAATTAGTTGCCAATCAGTGACTGCAGGTATGGCACGTACTTCACACCTTCAAATGTAAATTACTCTTACAAGCCTGGCAAGAACTTGTGTATGCATAAACCCTTTGTAGATAGCCTTTAAAATTAGTCAAAATATTCTTATATCTCGGTAGTTAAGTGAGTCCTGGTGATGTCCCTATTGATTAGATCAGTCTACGTATAGTAAAAACCGAAGCGGGTTGTGACAATCTGGACAACTTTTGGAGCCATCCTGATTTAATGACAGTAAAAGGTAGGGTTTACAACATGCAAGTGACGATAGCTTTGCTTATTAGTGTGACGTATACCTATTTTGGTGCCTAGTTGTGAGCATATTTATTAATTTTAAACGTATATATAGTCTATTTGTCTTCAATTTTAACAGACCGTTTGAAGGTTATGGAGTAAAAAATAAGATACATGGGTGTCACCTACGACACAAGTGACGCAAGTCGCCAAACACCAAATGAGCTTTCTCAGTCCATATAGAAATTTCGTCAGGCAAATCCATCAGTACTGATTAAATCTCAACGGCAAGTGCAGTGATCGATACACTCAACCACTTTACTCTCTACAGAAGCTCTGGGGTTAACGTATTTCGGTTCTGAAGCAACACTTTCCATCTAGAGACATAAAAATCTATTCCAAACTACACTGTTGCTTAAGAACATTAGAAGACTACATTTTATCGGCGTCTGCAACAAATAGAACTGTCATTCTCATGTTCTATGTCGACAAGTAAACCTCCTAATAGAAGACCAACCTATGCAGAGTTAGGTGAAGGGTCATATCTAGGGGGGTAATTTTGATGGAATTAGATAAAAAGAGTCGAGGGCAACACTGATGAACATTACTTTTCGTTAGGTTACAAGTAGACTGAAGTATTGAGAAAACTTACTTGAAACAAGCATTCGGATTCAATTGTCCATCAACGTAGAAGTAAAGCTTTAAATGCCACAAATCGAGAAGACAGCCAATTATACTACCCTTTTTGAAAGCGCAAGATCCCAAGGGATATGTTTGACCATCATGCATAAGTGCACCACGATAACTTAATCCCCACGAATCACAATCAATACCAAGTACCGAACGGAATTCTTGTGAATAATGATCTAGTTTTGCACATGTTCGACCGATTCCAACCATCTAATAAGTATGAAATGTAACACAAAACTTATTTCGAAGCACGTTTGCCAGATGACTAACACGTCCCCAAGCACTTTAATTAGTGAGAAACATAAAAGCATCATTATAATAAGAAACTTAAAACCACTCACATTTAATACCGTGCAAGGTACAAATGAACATTTCTTGACTTTTCAACTTAAAACTCGACGACTTTTGATCTTTCAACACAGTGAACCGGGTAGCGATATCAAATTGAAGTAGCGCTACATAGGCTACACTTACTACGTTGTAAAGCCTTATGACCATGAAACCCGATTAGATCGTGCCACCTTTCACGGCAACTACTTCAGATAAGCAGCTGAACTTAATAATAGTGCAGTGCACATATATTTGCTTGGTGTGAAACAGAAGCACCTGAAATTCTAAATCATATAGTGTGAAACCAAATATGCTATATTTGCGCTGCGGCAAAACCCTGTACGATTTGAAAATTAGTAAGACAAAAGCCCTCAAGCTGGGATTAAACCCTTACACTACCTACCGGTGGCGACAAACAGATTTAATATTCCTAAAAACGTACCACATCTGTTCCATAAAGTGGAGATACAGCTTTAAGTTCCCAATAGTGAAGGCCATTCGTTAGTAGGGCAGTCCCACGTGCAACAGCTGTGCCCCAACTAATAGTCGGATGAAATGTAACAGTCTTATCATTTTCAGACAGCTGGAAGGACTGCTGTGGAGATTCCGGTTTACACCAACGCCATTCCAATGCTTAAAAATTTAAATATGATGTAATCCAGGCTCACGTTCATCAATACTTTCATTGCAACGACAAAGTAATATCCAACTTAGATCCTGAAACTTTGGAGAATCAGGATCGCAGTAAGCACATTTCTGAACAGTCAACATCAATAATACAAAACTAAACAGCCTTGTGCATTTAAGCGCTCTTTCCAAAAACCTCGAAAAGGCTCTCTGACTCACCTAAACAAAAACATTAAATGTTAGAGCACTTTGCTTTTATGAGTACTTCTTCAAAATTTGGGATCCTTTTTGACCATTTCGCCAAAACAAACATTAAAAGAAGTTCATACATGTAGTTTCTACATTTTTCCTTCATGTTACGATTCTCAGTGACGTTTATTTTTGTATCTTTCTTGCTCCCGATCCAGTCAGACGTTCACAAAGAGGTTGTACCATAAATTTCCTGGAATCTTGGATTTCGTTTAGGTTATTCGTTCAGCCAATGCTACGAATTCGGATTGGGTTGTTTTGATCTTATACTGTCTCAGTCTACAACGCTATGATAATCCAACATTTGTACAACAGTACCTCGTATCACGTAAACATTCCCTTAGACTTATGCCATACCAAATGAATATCTACCTGAAATCTCGACTACATGGAAGCTTAAGTAATTTGGGAAGATTTTATGATTGTATTAGGCAATTTTATACTTTATTTTTGATGCTTAATAAAATTTCGTAGTTACTTCATAATAGTGGTCATATATTCTGTCACTCTCGTTAGTTTGTGGCCGAAATCATTTGTATTTATGCGTTGTAGCACTACAGAAAGAGGTACTACGTGTACACAAACAGTCTCGATCTGTCTCAAATATATATACTTCGTCATGCGATTAGTTCCCTGTATAAATTTAAATAAAGCCAGAATAAATATCTGTCTCTGAACTCCACTAAACTATTACACCACCCATCTTTAATGTTTCCTTAATTCTAACACTGAATAAACTCTGACGTGTTCTTGCACACACACATATATATAGTTACCTTTGATAGCCTTTGTCATTCATTTATAACAATTTTTCCATACTATTTCTTATCTCAATGTTAAATTCTAACACATATTTGGTTGTAAGCAGCTGACGAGAAACCACGAAGCATAATGAATTCAAATTATTCTGCATTAATATTTGTCTTCGTTTATTTTAGATACTTCGTCGTAATATCATACTCAACATGTTACTTAACGCCAGATGCTATATCTTCCGCACCACTCCTTAACATATTGGCCATGCTATCTGATCCTTCTATACCCACTGGTGGTTGCCTTTTTCACTAATGTTTGCTATCCGGTTTACATTAGCTGTTGTCACATACGTTAACTCATGACTCGACTTTCTTATTACACGTATATCGTGCTAATTTCCTTTTCGGTTCATTTACATGGGATTCGGGTCTAGCAATTGTCTTTAGGATTCTCCACGTACTCTAACCTCAAACGTAACAAACCTTATCGAAAGAACTCAACATGGGTTGATATAACTTTAAACAGTCACATTGCTTTTTATCATTGTCACTGCTAGTCGCTATACATTCAACCAACCTGTAACGGAATTAAAACGCCGAAAATCAATCAACATAGTTTTTGTTGGACAGTACTGTCATTTATTTGTTTCTTCTCCCTATCGGGTATTTTAATCTTTGCTCAGATCTCTTTTAACCACCCTTTGTGTTTTTCAGTCTTTCTCGTCTGTGCTTTTATTATGTGAGCTTGATTAGAAGGTTACCTTTTGTTACCTAATTTTTCTGTTGCATGTTGCCGGACTATTGACAATAAGGTAGTGTTTGACTCTCTGCTTGGAAAAATAACTGAAGTCCTTGCAGACAGATATGGGATCCCATCTTGCTGGGGATATTTTTATAGATTCACAGGTAGTGAACTCTATTGTATTAACTGTTTCTTTTGTTGTTCAGCATGCTAATTTTTGTTAGAGACATTTTCGACTTTATAGCACAAGCTGTACTGTTTGTTGTGCTTTGTATTTTTGATACAATTTGTTCTATTTATTAAATTATGACCGTTTAAATTGAGCACAGATTTGTATTTTGATATAATATAATGCGAGTAACTCAAAAACCCTTCGCACGCTAAACAGAATAACGTAGTCTGGTTTAATCGAACAAAGTTTGGATCGTTAGTTCTGCGTTCAAATCAAATATTGGCAGTTCGGTCGTTGCAGTTCTCAAACGAACAGTAGTCACACGTGGCAAACATTGAAATACCTAAAAAAGCGCAATAAGAAAAGCCTTTTTGCAATATTTTGATATTTTTAAAATCGATTTGGTGGTTGTTGAAAATGGCATGAACTGCTATTACCGATTTAATTTGAAGTTGGTTCAATTCTACAGGATTGTTAGGAGGTTTCTTTGTGTAGCTCCTTATAAAACTGACCACGATCATCCTCGCTGCTACCGTTGATGGATTGGTAACATCAAGAGACATTCGTTGTATTTCTTTTCATTTCAGTTTTGAAAGATTCTTTAACGGTCATAGAATCGTGTCTCCAATCCTATCAAAGATTTTCACGTTTCTTTAATGGACATCAATACAACCCCTTGTGTCTAATGTACTATTTTCCTTCACGGTAAGAATACAGCAACATCTCGGAGATAAGTCTTTTTAATCAAGATTGTTATCAACAGGTTTTAATTGCACCATGTATAGCTACTTTGTTTTTTATTTCTCCTGCTGTGTCGAAAGACATTCCGATTCCCCGAATCGTTAGAAAATTTCATGCACATGCGCATCGGGTCTATGGATTCTGAAGAATTCTGGCTTCTAACACAAGACGCTATCACTCTCTCATATAAAGGCTCTTCAACACCAATGTGGAGTGTGATATTTTTGTGACGATTAGAAGTATTTAGATTAATGTGTTAAATTAGAATTCCCGAAACAGTGTAATAAACAGCAAATAGAACTAGGTGAGCACAAATGAACGTATTGTATTTTTAATTCGAAATCAGGCGGACATCAAATACAAAAATGTCATTATTTCATACAAACACCAATTCCAAATTTCTCCAATTACCTATACTTTTTCTCCTTAAGTTCATCATATGTCTATCCGACTGTGTTTTGGATAAAGACTCTGTATGATCTAGAATATACTCATTAGTATTAGAATTAACAAATGAAATCGGAATGGACTTACATGGGCTCTGGAGTTGTATGCAAACACCATGTCGGTTGTGTACTGACACCACTGATATCTAAAATTTGAACCATAGACATTCCAAAGCTACACTCCCCTACGAAATAATGTACTGTCCTTGTATGGCAATGTCAATTTTCCTGTTTGCATCGTTTCATATCTCACACATCGAATATTATACGTGAGTATTTGAGGATACACAATGACATATAATTTTAGGAATTTAAAATGTGACTTCGACGTGCGTAAAAATATGATACATATTCTTTTTGGTTTTCACGTTGGAATACACAAGACCATCCCTTTTGATCTATCATATCACGGACTATGGATTCTACTTGACACAAATTAGTTGTAAGAATATCCAACATCTGATACAATAACATCAGAAATGGGACGAGAATTCGACTCATTAGAGACATATTTGTCAAAGTCATTAAGAATATCATTAGTGGTAAGTCTTTTGTGAGGACGAATATTATCTAATGCAACACCAGAAGAACTGTAATCAGATTTTAACTCATTTAGAACTTGTTCCTCACATTTAATTAAGGTCTCACTAGAAATAAATGAATCATTAGCACAAACGATATCTGATAAAATGAAATCAGAGTTCTTATAAGGATTTGGTGCACTCGATATAGCTTTCATATATTTGTAAATAATTTCATTAGAAATTCATGAATCACGGGAACAACGCATATCTGGTACAATAATATCGTAAATCTGATCAGAGTATGATTCATTTGAAACATCCAACTTAATAGGATCGGAATTACAAAGCTTAGCACTAATTACAGTTAAATGAATGACAGTTTTACAAACTGCCTGTATGTGTCCAATTTTACTACATTTCAAGCGTTTAGCGTTACGGAATACACATGAACTACATGAGTGAAATGTGCCACAGTACAAATACTTACCAAGACTGTGCTAATCTTCGTAACTTGCTTTGCAACTCCTCAATGAGTAGTTATCTTAATAACCTTGAGTATGAATTGGATCACGATGACGTAGTAATGTGGCGGAATTCCTGATGTCGTCTTCAGTCTTCAGTAATAAGGATAGGAGGTCTATCGACCTATATTAATCCTTGCAGTTCGTAATACTGTGGAGGTCCGGTCTCGTTTTTAATATATCAACAGAAGGTGCTGATATTACGTATTCCAGTAGAGAATTCCAGTAATTCACAACTCGGTGTGAGCTATGAAATACCGGACGTAAACGATTTGATCTCGGTTTTTGGGATTTCTTCAAATCTCCTCGCAAATGATCAGTTCTAGACGGAAGTAAAAGAGAAGACATGTCGATACCAAGGTTATCGTTCAGTATACGATAAGCCAATATAAGATCACCCCGTATTTACGGTAAGATGACGGAAATAAGTTAAGTTGTCTCAGTCTGTCTTCATAAGATAAGCCAGATAGACCTTGTACCATCTTAGTACCTCGTCGCTGAACCCTTTCCAGCATATCTGCCTCTTACTTAAACAAGGACTCGCTGCTTGAATCCCATATTCTAAATGTGGTCGCACATAAACCGGGTATAATAATATAAACATTTGATCATCTAAATACTGGAAAGACCTACGAATAGACCATAATATCCCGTAACCTTTCGCAACAGCAGCCTTACAGTGACTAATGGTTCTGAGATCACTGCTTATTATGACTCCTAAATCTTTATATTTCCTTACATTGGGTAGCACGAATTCACGCAGTGTATAGTGATACGATTTGTCTGAGTTATTTAACTGCACCACTACACTCTTATTAGGATTTACTTCTAGTAACCACCTGTCTAACCATGCCACCAATGAGCTAAGATCATCCTGTAATACCATTCTATCCGACGTACTATGTATGGGTCTCCAAATCTTTATGTCATCAGCGAAGAGTATGACGGGTGATTTTGCTACCGTTGGCAATTCATTTACATAAAGTAAAAAGAGAAGAGGACCTAGGATTGAACCTAGGGGAACCCCACTTTTTACAGGTACCCACGAGGAGAGAGCCCTGTTAACCCTTACCCTTTGTCTCCTGTCATGGAGTTATTTATTCAGTCTACGACTGTATAATGGATTCCAAAACGTTCCAGTTT